AACCTGCTTCGCTAATGGCTGAAAGGCAACTCATCCTGCATGAGATAAATCTGATTTTGTATAAAGGGCGACTCATCCTGCATGAGATAATGCTGATTGTTGGAGGATTGACCTAAGGTTGACTAGCATGTAGGAAGGAAGATGCAATGAGAATTATTACCGCAACAGACAAACTGGTTAGATATGTGTAAATGACGAAGGAAATCCCACTTCTATTAGAAACTTAAAAAATTATAGAAAAGAGCTTTCAAGGAGGGTAGATTTGACTCCGAGGCAATGTTTCTCCAAACTGCACTATAGGATCTGTATATGAGCTTTATTACTTGCCTAATAGAGTGTATAATACATAAGGCTAGAAAAATTACAGAAGAGAACTTTTAAGGAGTGTTTGAGCCTATGCCGATGTTTCTTTCTCCATATATGCACTGTGGGATCTCTGTATGAACTTTAGCAGTTGACGTATAGAGTGGATATAAACACCATGTTGCTTGATCTATCAATTTCTTGAACTCATCCGATAGATTAAGGAAATACTAAATATAAAATGTACCATAAAAAGAAAAAGGAAAACAATCCAGTGTCCTTTCTGTTGCATTCCCTTGTGGAGTGGAAGAGACTATTTATAATGCACTCAGCACACGGATTGCCGCTTCTCTAAGGCATGGAGTGTGGAGAGTATTATAGTTTATATAGTGCATATTTGTGGTTCTCTTTATTAACAATTGTCTTCTGGTATAACTTTGATAGTTTTTGACCTTCTGGTGATAAAAGAACTTGATTTCTGTGGTAATTATCACTTAATGCCAGATTGAAAGCAATATTGTTCGTTGCCCGAACCCTGAATATGCAGAAAAGATGATTGCTGCCATTGATTATGTACGAGTGAGGGGGGATTCTGTTGGTGGTGTTGTAACTTGCATTGTTAGAAATGTTCCACGAGTAAGCGCTCTCTCTCTCTCTTTGTGTGCGTGTGTGTATGTCTGTTAGTTATCGTGCATGTCTTTGGTGCTGGTGGGACCTTCACATGATAGTTTGGTGATAATTACTAGGGTCTTGGTACACCAGTCTTTGATAAACTTGAAGCTGAGCTGGCTAAAGCTTGCATGTCATTACCAGCAACAAAGGGTTTTGAGTTTGGAAGTGGCTTTGCAGGTACAGAATCTTCATACTATGGAAGTTGTTAAAATTTACTTTTAGTTACTGCAATAATTTTTAGCATTAATAAGTTGCTTAGCTTTAGTTTGTTGAGATATTTTAGATTTTTGAATTTTGAATTATGCAAATTTTTTGTTGTAAGTTGGCTATTTAAAGCTCCCCTATGCTTAAGAAAAATATTGAGAGACATTTTCAATCAATTTTTTCCAACCCTTTTTGCTGCACCATCTTTTTAAAAAACAAACAGAAGTGATTTTCTTATTATCTTGTTGTTGGATGATAGCAAACTCCTAAGTCGAAACAGACTAATCAAGATCGGTGTTATCATCTATGTAGTATGGTTAGGAATACAGATTTTGTATTGGGAACCTGTTCAATGAAAATATGAACCAGGTGTTATGAAAAATTTCATTCAGATTTTACCCAAAGAAGTACAAGTAATTAAAACTACTAAAATAATTGCAAAAATTACCCAATAACGTGAGTTAAGTGTAAAAAGCAATCGTCCAAATCTAGTTCAGTATTGCATAAAATGTAAGAAGAATCAATTTTAAGACAGTTTCACAACCTCCGATGATGAAGCTCTGACGACTTAAGTATCCATCTTCTGTCACCAGGTGCAACTTTGAACTGTTCTATTTCTTCTGCTTCTCCTTTACAATCTTGCCTGACCTACTTGCTTCTGCTTGGAGCTCTGGATAACAGAACCTCCTTGATTGCCTTGGTCTTTTTATGCCCTTTCCTATCCCTCTTTTTGTTACTTAGGTAATGATCCCCTTTCTGTTTTTTCAAAACATTGTATCACTCATGACAAAGATGATACCAGCATGTTGCCTAAAATTATTACTCATACATTTTGATGCTAATCTGCTGGAATCTGAATTCGCAAGATTATCTCCCCAAATAAAGCCTAAGATGTCTTTAGATCGAAGCTGCATTCTAGTATCTCTCTATGATTAATACAGTTTGCATTGGTGTCTAGATGATATTGGATTATCAGGGTTTAACATTGTTGAAGAGTATGAAATGCTAATGCTTCCAGCTCGAAGTAGATAGGAAAGATAACAGAAAGACCTGGCTTCAGACTGCCAAAAGTTTTTAGGTGGTCAAGTGTGCTTCATCGAGTTACCCTTCGGGGTGGCCCAGTGGTTTGGGCTTGGGACTTCCATGTTGGAGGTCTCAAGTTCGAAACCCCTTGCCAGCGAAAGCAAGGGATTTGCCTTCTGGGTCGAGCTCGTCGCACCGGGCTTGCCTAGTGCGGGTTACCTCTCCTATGTGGTTTGCGAGCTATTGCATAGGAGCGGGGCTTTTACCCTGTGCGCACCCAAAGGGTAGCGGCTGCGGGTTTCCCTTGTCATAAAATCCCCTTTCTGTTTTTTCAAAACATTGTATCACTCATGACAAAGATGATACCAGCATGTTGCCTAAAATTATTACTCATACATTTTGATGCTAATCTGCTGGAATCTGAATTCGCAAGATTATCTCCCCAAATAAAGCCTAAGATGTCTTTAGATCGAAGCTGCATTCTAGTATCTCTCTATGATTAATACAGTTTGCATTGGTGTCTAGATGATATTGGATTATCAGGGTTTAACATTGTTGAAGAGTATGAAATGCTAATGCTTCCAGCTCGAAGTAGATAGGAAAGATAACAGAAAGACCTGGCTTCAGACTGCCAAAAGTTTTTAGGTGGTCAAGTGTGCTTCATCGAGTTACCCTTCGGGGTGGCCCAGTGGTTTGGGCTTGGGACTTCCATGTTGGAGGTCTCAAGTTCGAAACCCCTTGCCAGCGAAAGCAAGGGATTTGCCTTCTGGGTCGAGCTCGTCGCACCGGGCTTGCCTAGTGCGGGTTACCTCTCCTATGTGGTTTGCGAGCTATTGCATAGGAGCGGGGCTTTTACCCTGTGCGCACCCAAAGGGTAGCGGCAGCGGGTTTCCCTTGTCATCAAAAAAAAAAAAGTGTGCATCGAGTTTAGATCTACGCTGTGGCTGGTCCAGGGGGTGTTAGTTACTTGACTGGTGATTTAAGGGGATTAAACAATTAGTGCTAAGGATCTTAGTTGATTCATCGACACTTTGTTTACGGCATGGTTGGTTAGAATAGTAAGGAAGTTGGCCAATTCAATTTCGAGTCATTCTTTGTTCATTACAGGTCTAGACAACTTCTCTGAATTTAAATAAGGCTATTGTTCTATGTCAAAAAAACTTGAAGGCTCTTACATGTTAATATCTTTGATAAATCTCATGTTCTATTTTGTTTCTGGTGAAAAACTACAGGTACTTTCATGACTGGCAGTGAGCATAATGATGAGTTCTTTATGGATGAACATGACCAAATCAGGACAAAAACCAATAGATCTGGTGGTATCCAGGTACACTCGCAATATTCATTTGGATATGTCTTTAGAAATGGACAAACAATTCCATTTCCTTTTCAAGTTGAATTATCTGTTTAATTTATTTCACAGGGAGGCATATCAAATGGAGAAATTATTAATATGAGAATAGCATTCAAGCCAACTTCTACAATTGCAGTGAGTCCTAGTCTCTGTCGAAAATTCCATTTTTTTTCAAGTTAAGTTACTCTGTATGAAATACGTCTTATTTCAATTGTTATGCAGAGGAAGCAACATACTGTTAGTAGGGATAAACATGAGACTGAACTCATTGCTCGTGGTCGACATGATCCTTGTGTGGTTCCACGAGGTTTGTATGCCTAATTTTGTTTTGACTATTACTCAATTTGGCTAGTCCCTTCCATTCGTCGTACTAGGATGTTTACTCTTAGAAACCACTGAGGCTGTATGACTGCTAGACTAGCTCAATCTGTTCTTGTTCTTTACCGGTGTTTTGATAAAATAACCAAAAGAAAATCTGCTAGCCATTTGCTCTTCAAAACATTCTTTTCTCCTTCAATTTCTGAACAACACTTGAAAAGTAAACGGACATTTCATGTCTTGGTGCAACAGCTGTTCCGATGGTGGAAGCAATGGTCGCCCTGGTGCTCGTGGATCAGTTGATGACTCAATATGCACAATGTATGCTGTTCCCAATCAATCCTGCACTACAGGAACCTTTGCAGTCATCGACAACTGAGTCAGCTCAGGTTCCCCTTTAAAAGGAGCCGAGCAACTTGCGTACCCCCATAACAACTTCTCGCTAGATAACTTCTCACATTTCTGGCATAACTACGTTTGGAGAGTGTAATTTTTTGTTAGAAGTTATCCTCGATGCCTTAAGAGTTATATTGTTGAACAGAGGTATGTATATAGCTTTTGTTGCTGGAGCTATCACCAGCTTTTCGCTCAGACTTTCCAAAAATGTCACTGGATGTGTGTTGGATCCTCCAAAAGTGCGTTTTTGGAGGATCCATCACAGGCACGACAATATTTTTGGAGAGTCTGAGCAAACATAGCTTGCCAATGTACGGAGAGCCAAGTGCATCTAAAAAAACGTGAAATTGTGACGTTTTCATTATTTTATGGGCTTTTCTTGTGTTTATGAACTCAAGTTGTACTCACATAAGATAGTTAGTAATGTGATCTGTATAATACAAACATTTACGATTTTATAAATTTTGTGAATTAAAATTGCCTTCTTTTATTTTTGGCGAATATATAACGATGAACATACAAGTAATATCATTGCTATTTGCTACTCTAGCAAGTCCTTGTTATGGCGATCCAACATATTAATGTGCATTACACACATTAGAGATTGATTCAAAATTTGAAGTTTATCAGTTTTGAATTTAAAAGTTTTGTGTGTTCTGAATTTTATTATACATACATATTCAATGGGATATCTCAACAAAATTACAAAGTTGAACCAAAGTTATTGGGTTCTAATGAACGCGTACTTCCTATGCTCCCGGGTGAGACTTCCTATACCCTAAAGCAGCAGGTCGTGCAAGTAGTCGAACAAATGAGAGGTTGTCGACGAAGAGGTCAAAGCTTGCAAAGACTCCTTCAACCTCGCTTGCATGTTAGCTTGCTTGTACTATTGCTCTCCTACCTGACCTGCTTTCTGGCTAGTTCTTTTACTATCGTACCTCCACCCCCAACATACATATATTAAGGTTTGGTGTTAAAAAGCATGCTTATGTGTTATGCCGAACCGTTAAAAGGAAACATTTTGAACCTACCCCTCACTATTTTTTGCCATTTCTCTACTATTTGACCATATATATACCTTCCTTTAAACTTCAACTCATCTTCTTTCTCTTTGAGGAAGTTCACAAATCCTCCATTTTCCTCCTTAGTTTCACATCTTCAAAACTATCTAACAACAAAATCAAAGTAGTGATTCCCAGATCTGCTACTGATTCAAGCTTCTCCTTCTCCAGGTAATCGATAAATCTCCTCTTTTGTTTTCCCTTTACTGTTCCGGTTGAACGCTATAGCAAATTGCATATCAACTGTTTGATGAATGGTCCCAAAGACTTTGCTATTATAGAACTGTAACCAAACCCAAAAAAATGAAACGACGAGGTCATTTCACTAAGGATCCGATCAAATTTCTATGTATTGTAGTCTCTATTGCTTGTACTTTCGTGCTGTGTTTTTCAGTACTTAAACTTAACGAAATACCACAAGGAAATGAAAATGTGATTGATTTGAAACTGAAGAAAAATCGAATAGATGGAGGAAGAGGAGTAGTAGGGAAGTTTGGGGAAATAGTGATTGGAATGTTACCTCAAGATTTGGGGTTTACTTTATTTTTGCCATCTGAGAAAGCATTCGAGCGGGATCTGGGATTGAGATTGGATGAGAATGAGAATGAGAACAACACATATGCAATACTAACTCGTGTACTCGGGTTTTCAGCTGTACCAGCAAGGATTTATGCGGATGATGTACAAGTTGGAAAGGAGATTGATTATGATTCAATATCGGGATACACTGTGTATGTATCGAAAGATTCAGATGGGTTGTTGATAGTTAATAGAATTGCTTCAGAAATGGTGGATTTGAGAAGAGGGAAGATTGTTGTACATGTTATGGATGGGGTGATAATGGATCCAGAATTCGAGCAATCTGTTCGACCTGATGATGATTGAGTTTAGTTGAGTTGAGTTGAACTGAGCTAAGGTTTCATGAATTGATGGTTGCTGCTTCCGCAGCCCCGGCCATTTTCACCTTAGGGAAAACTTATGAAGCTTGATGCATTGGGATGGTGCAGACAGATCTATAAAGACGAAAACTTTGGTGTATAACTTTGCTGAATTCGAGTAAATATAGTGGCATAGATTTCCTAGAGATCCTCTACAAATTGAAGACAACACTGTACCAGATCAACTCTGCTTATGAAGAGGAATTATGCATCACTTGAGTTGGGGGTTTTCGGAAATAGTCTCTCTATCTTCTAAGATAGGGTAAGTTCTACGTATACTATACTATCCCCAGACTTTGCATTGTGGGATTATACTGGGTATGTTGTTATTGTTGTTGCTGATGAAGAGGAATTCAAGTTGAATATCAGCTTCTGATAATGGAAGACGAGGCGGGCATCCATCAATAACACAACCAATACCAGCACCATGAGATTCTCCAAATGTTGTAGCGCGGAAGAAAGTTCCATATGTATTTCCAGCAGCCTTTATCTCTGTGTATAAGCATATTCAAACTTGTAAACTACTTGTGAGTTGGGAAGCTGATTGAAGAAATTTTGAAACATTCATATGTCTATGGGATTCTTCATTTTTTTAACGTAGGTATTAGTTATGCAGAGTTTAGTAATTCATGTATTAGTTATTCCACATTCAATCTTTTACGGATAAGGAGGTATACCGTTTACGTTTGGTAGAACTTTTCAGCATGAATTTAGATCAGTTGGACCTCAAAATGAACATCGAATACTGAGTGAAAATAAAAATAAAATAGTGTCTTTCATAGTTTCTAAAAGCCCTCCGGAGGCCTATCCCTCTTTCTCCACTTGATTCTGAAGTTCAACGACTTTTATCGTTGGCAAACACCTAAAAGTATTTAATTGCCATTTTAATTAGATTGCCAATTAATTGTAGTAGAGATTTACCTATGGTTAACTTATAGTCACTTTATTATGTTGTAATTTTTAAATAGTCGGTACATAAAACTTAAATTAATGTTTCTCACATTATAGGTAATGAAGCTCATTTAGCTTCACTTTAGTGAAAAGGAGGATCAATTAGTCTTTCCTTAATATAAAGTTTTATTTCAATTAGTCTTTCCTTAATATAAAGTTTTATTTCTTCTACATTCTCAATATAAGTTTCAAATGATTTTAATTGATGGCTAGCTTTGAGACATGTAGCAAGCTACATTTTTATTTTTATTTTGAGAATGGTAAAGTTGTATTCATCAGCAATGAGGGTATGCTGGCAACCAAACAAAAAAAACATTCAAAGGCCAAGTAGTCATGATTACAAAGAGCCTATGAAATCTACTAACTGATCTACTTCATATATACCCTCTTCTTTACACCAAAAATATAGAGTATTAATGCAGTTTTCTTTAACTTTCTGCATTGGTTTCTAGAGCCGAGGGTCTATCCAAAACAGCCTCTATACCTCACAAGATAGGGGTTAAGGTCTGTGTACACTCTCCCATCCACAGACCGCGCTTGTGGGATCACATTGGGTATCTTATTGTTGTACTAAATATCCTATCATTATCAGTTGTTTGTTGTCGTAAAGGAAAGAACTCATTCTATAAAGTGCCTTCGTGCATTTTGCATAACTCAATTCTTATAAGTACCCCATCGAAAAACAAAATGATAAATGATCCTCGTTGATGCATGAACAACTTTTTTATGTCTGCTACGTTCCTTTATTGGTTTATAGAACCAAAATAAACAGTTTGTTTTCAGTCTAATTCAAAATTGCCCAAGTACAATTTATGTATGTAGTTTATATCCACTACCACCAAATCCATCAAAACCTGAAATAATTGGGAAGTCAATCCTACTACTCCCATTTCTGCTCTATTTCTTTTTTTTTGAGAATGGTAAAGTTGTATTCATCAGCAATGAGGGTATGCTGGCAACCAAACAAAAAAAACATTCAAAGGCCAAGTAGTCATGATTACAAAGAGCCTATGAAATCTACTAACTGATCTACTTCATATATACCCTCTTCTTTACACCAAAAATATAGAGTATTAATGCAGTTTTCTTTAACTTTCTGCATTGGGTTAGTAATATTCTTAAAGCACCTACTTTCCTTCCAAATTGACCACCATATGCAAGATGGAACTAGATTCCACCATTTTTTCTGTGTTTTACTCCCCCCTCTTCTCATCCAACAGTTTAGTAGGTCAGCAGTATGCTCAGGCACCACCCAAGGATCTTGAATAATGCTTTGAAGCATATACCATATCTGGGAAGTCACTCTACAGTGAAGGAACAAATGATTGTTTGTTTCCTCCTTCTCATGGCAAAAGAAGCACCTAGAAACAATCTGAAATCCTCTTTTTTTCAGTCTCTCCTGAGTCAGACATGCTCTTCTGCACACTAACCATGTGAAACACTTTATCTTGGTTGGGGTGTTGGATTTCCAAATTTGTTTCCAAGGTCCAAAAATGCCCCCCGGGTGTGTTGCAAGCTACATGTTAACCTGACCAAAAATATGTAGACTTGCCAAGGGGTGTTGGGATTGAAATAATAAGGTGTGATGCAGAAGCAAACAATTGTAAACCTTAAATGGCGGTAAATCAGAAAATTAGGAAGCATTAAAAATAAAGAAATTGTCGAGAGTTATTTTGTCATTTGTATCTAGATCTTGGCCTTTGATGAAGATGAATTGATGTATTGTTTTCAACAACTCACATAGCCGTGCCTACCAACAACAAGACGACTACTTCTTGCATGCCACTAAACGTTGCTCTTTAATGCTTGGGTTCGCTCAATACAAGAATTGTAGCCCAACCTTGCTTAAGGCTAAAGTCGTGGACTACACCCCATGAGAGCTCTCTATTTGACTAACATACTCCCTTTTGATCTCCCCAATACCTTCATAGCAAAGCTAGGAATGATTGACTTTCGGATTTAAATAATATCACATAATAGCAATGCTCCTTCTCATTTCTTCTTTTATGACCACAACCCCGTATGAGCCCTCTATAAGGCATAGCTCAAGTTTATATGATATGCACACTTTTGAGGCTCAATGTGGCATAGACCGAAGACAAATTTGTATGGGCCTAGGCCCAAAGCGGAAAATACATGACATGAGCTTAGGTCGCGATGACAAATCACTTTCAGCAGAATGATAATTAAAATGTACCAATTGGCAATAGCAGACTAGCAGTGTTAGAAAATTCACTAGGGTGAAAAAGGTATGCATTTGATTGAAGCCAAAACAAAATGAATGCCAATCACTAACAAGGAAAAATAAAAATCTGTTTTGTACAAATGAAATTACAACCAAGAAAAAATGAATAAGCAAGGGGAAAACTTGCTAGTGATAAATTATACAGGAAAAATGTTCATATCTGTCTATGTATGGAGGTGAAAAAAGGATTTAAAACAAAATTGTGCCATTTTTGAAGAAGATCGAAACTAGTATGCAACTTTATCTATTTCATGCAAAAAAGATTCTTGTCCATCTCCTATGCTATGGCCATGCTCCAGCTCAGATATGAAGATAGAGACAATCTTAAAACAATGTACTTACTTTCTTGTCGTCCATCTTCCAGCCTGAGAATTCGAGAAACAGTACTGTTGAAGGTACTGATCAGTCGTCAATATACAAAATGACTATATGTGTTTTCTTACACTTGACCTCCAAAGATTTGGATTCTACTTCTCATTTGGTGTCTACACATGCATTTACTTTTAGAAAATGAGTTTTTGGCTGTTTTACCTTTCCAACCGTGAATCTGTTAAATCTTCATTAGTCAGGTGCTGATTTGCTGATCACAGTCTGAGAATCATTTGTTCCGCGAAGATCTTATTTCACTCCTTTTTGTCTTCAGAAGTTGTTGAATTATGATGCTTCTCGGGTGACTTGGGAGGATCTTCACTTTTGGGTGACTCCAGTTTGTGTGCTGAAGTTGTGACATCTTGATGTTTTTCGGATGTGCTCAGAGACTCTTCACTTTTGTCAGGTGATTTTAAACCGTCATTTTTGTTATGGGGTAGATCTCTAGAGTCTGGTTTCTCACAGTGTTCATTGGCTGAATCCGTTTTAACTGTTGGTTCCACAATTTTCTCTGATTTGTCAGGTGAGACTATTTTGTGCGGTGAAGCTGTGGAATTAAGCTGTGGAGATTGTTCATCATTATGAGACAAGTCAATAGAACAATCCTTTTTGGTGGATAGATCAGTGCTATCCTTTTTTTCATCTTTCAAGTCAGCGTCATCTGCATTGTCCTCTTTAATTTCCTCAGCTTCCAAAGGGCCAAGCTTTGCATCAATACTCTTGATTGCAACTGTTAATGATCTTGCATCACGAGCAGCTGCCAGCCGTCCAGGTGACGATGCCTGTTTGTGAAGAAAAAAAGATATCAACACATCAAGAGTATTCATGGTTAGGGTAGTTTCTTCCAAATTTAGCTGCAAGGATATCCAGAATCTGGTGAAGCACCTTTGTGAATTAGATTCAATAAATAGCTCTAACATTCAGTTTTGTCTTGATTAGACTGTGAATTGGCCAGCCAAGGCAACATGTGACAAAGCTATTTTTCGTCTGAAATATCCATTTAAATATAACTCCCTCTGTTTCAATTTGTTTGTTTGGTTTTGATTTGGCACGAAGTTTAAGAAAGTAAATAAGACTTTGGAATCTTGTGGTCTTAAACTAAAGTCGAAACTGAAGAGTTGCCAAAAGTAGAAAGAGACATTCTTTTTTAAACGGACTAAAAAGAAAAGTAAGACAAACAACTTGAAATGGAAAGAGTACCATTTTTCTTCACCTACTATATCTCCTCGTGTTGCTAACGGGGTCACAGAGTAGAATATAACTTAAGATAATGTAAGGAAAATAGTGGCAGGACAGAAAACACTGCTACTCCAATCTCCGAACTAGTTAGATGTAAGTGCATATTTTGGTCTTCCTATTTCTACCATTTTGGCGTTCTATTTTTCTTTCTCAACATTTTAATGCCTCGTCGAGAGAGAAACACTCCAAACAAAAGAAGCACTAATGTAAGTTCAATATATCCAAAGAAAGAGAATGGTACTATTTAATAACTGACCTCCAACAATTGCTCAGCCCTTTTCTTCAAAGCCTCAAAAGATGCTTCCTTGTGAATAAGTTTTAAGATGTGGGTCAAGTGAGGCAGAAGATTCTCGAGACGGTGTTGGTCTGTTTTGCATTGAGGAATAGTAGATACACAGCCTACTGGATAGAAGGGGCAGTTGGCAAGCTTCATTGGACATACAGTTATACAGTGCCTGTCCATTTCACGCCTCATGAGTGTTGCTGGGCATTTCTGCTCGCATTGGAGTATTTTGAACGGACATGTTGAATCATGCAGTTCCAGCTGAGCTGCACTAAATCGAGCATTACATCCCTCATTTTCACAGTGCAATTCCCTGAAACCACACAAGGTGATATGCTTCGAAAGCTCTTCTTCAGATTTGAACCTCATACTGCAGTGATAAATGTTTTTGAAGTCAATATTTCTTATCGATGTTTGTGCCACTGCTATCCTCCTAGCCATCAACCAAAAGCCATTCATTTCCATTTCTTGTACGAAATCATCTATCCTTTCTTCTCTCCTTTCACTTAGCATCCATGATGAAACTTTGCAGAAAAAGTTCCTCTTAGACTGTGCAAAATCATCAATAAAATCAGATATAATATCATGAGGGTTGTCGGACACTTCAATAACCGAGTCACCTTCTAAGACAACAGATTCTGCAACAAACATCTCGCTTCTCTGGACAAGATAGTCCACCATTTCTCTTCTAATATCAACAGCCACAGAAGCGGGGCTATTCAACAAACCACCAGTCGTATTGTCAATACAGGCAGAGGCCAATCCAGGGAGAAATTCATCCGCTACCTTTTGAACCATCTCTGCATCAAATAGATCACAGTGGAAGAGAGCATCGTCCTCCTCAACTTCCTCAATTGCTGCTGGTTTAGTTTCCTTCACTTCCTCTAATTGCACATCTTCAAGTTCTGTGGTTTTGATTTTTTCTTCAACTGTATGGGGGTCCATGTTTAAAGAAGCTTCCGACATGTCCAAAGAGATAGAAAACTGCAAACGACATAGTATGTTCAGTACCACAGATACTGAAAATGAATATAAAGAAAACTCCTGAAAGAAAATAAGTCTCCAAAAGCATGACTGAATGATCTTGGCTGCTGAAATAAATAACCATCAGTAAATATGACTGGCGAAGAAAAACGAATATCACCGGAGTAAAGAAAATTTCAGATTCATTCATTTAGCTAGTTTAGGTAAAATATCCACAGTAAATATTCTTCTCCGCACTGGTGCCAATGCTACGTCAGTATAATACTCCCATGACTGCTTCCACTTTGGTTAGCTACATCTTATGATAAGAAGATAAAACATGGTTTTCCTGTTGTTTTGTCGCCGAGGAAATAAAAGCAGTAATATAGATACGATACAACAACAACAACATACCCAGTGTGATCCCACAAGGGGAGGTTGGTGTGTCTTACCCCTACCTTGTGAAGGTAGATACGACACCAAACAACAAATACAAAAGCAACTAAGAGTAACAAACCATAAGTCATTTTAACCTAGATAAAACATACTAATCAAAATAAAATATTATCATTTTGAAAACTAAAATAATTGAATCAACATGATTCTTTTTCTTGAACTGCTGAAACAACTTGATTCTTGTGTTTGTGTGAACAACTCAATCGCTTTTTATATCGCTCCAAACCAGTGCCGGAACCAAAAATCCTCACAAGGGGATTCGAAAAAATGCAAGAACACCATGTCTAGTACTGGCATTACAATGTCAATGCTTTTGTGTTCCCCTTTAACCATTTTCCTTAAAAATCAGATCAGATAAATTGCAACATCTTTAAGATGTGTATGCCAGGATACCCCAGGATGGGATTATATATTTTGTGGATAATCAATCCACTTTTTGTATAGAATAAGTTCTACCAAGAATTGGAATAACAATGATACTGGTTTCAGCTAAAGCCTCCAACCAAACACGAGATAGACTTAATCCGAAAACTTACATCGAAATAAACCCAAATAATCCTTTAAACCAAACATCATACAGAGGCAAAGCTAGGATTGCAGCTTTATGGTTTCTACATTTTAGAATGACGACTTCAAGTGATAATAAATGGGTTCTAAATCTTATGTTGTACATATTTAATGATTTTTTTAAAAACACAAATATACCATTTGAACAAAAATTACTAAATTCAGCCGAACCCCTAAGTTGTGGGTTTGGTTGCAAACAAGAAATCAATGGAACCATAAACTCCCCTAGCAAATTCTGATCTTCAAATATTTTCAAGTTCCCAAAAACTGGTATGTGAGTCGTTTTAGAAAAGAAATTTAAATTTCACCCACAAAACTTCAATAATTCTCAAGTTTCAACTTCAAAATGACCAAATGGAAGCTTCAAATCTTCGATCCGCCTCCGATAACCAAATACACATGAATTCATAATCAACACAGAACAATTAAGGAAGAGAGAGATCACCTCTACCTTCTCGTTCGTAAAATTAGATCAAAATTGAAAATCTGAAAACCTGTCAAATCAAATGGATATTCAACCAATACCCGCATAATAAATTCCAGAAATGAGCTCAAATTACAGCTTTATAACAAGAGAATCAAAGCTAAAATGCATACAGAAAGGCATAAAATTGTATGCAATAATAACAGATTTTCATGAATAAACATTGAATACCTTCAAATCTTGTGGGTTCCTATTTTGTCTCCGCACAATTTGGTGGGAAAATGTTGAAAAGCTCCATATTCTCAGACGTGCGTTCTATATGATACAAAAGGGCAATTTTGACCGTCAAAAGACAAAAACTTGTTTTTTTTCCCTTGGTCTAATATTCACATTGAAATTCCATTAATTTAGATTACGTTTAAATTATGAAAGTTTTTTTTTCCCAAAAAAACTAAAATAAAAAATAGTATATTATGGGTGTGTTTGGTATGAAAGAAAATATTTTTCGGAAAATGTTTTCCAATTTTCTCATGTTTGATTGGGTTAAATATTTTGGAAAATGTTTTCCAAATCAAATCATTTTCCTCAAATTTAAGGAAAATGACTTCCCTTCAAAACTTAAGAAAAACATTTTTGGCTAAATGGTCTGGTGGACCCTTGTACATGTATCCATTTGTATTGTAAACCCTTCTACTTACCCCTTTGTCATCTGAACCACCGAACTCATTTAAACTCAACATGTTGAACCCTTTCAACTCATGGTGACTCTCAATCGCGCTGATGTCACATTCCATGTAAGATAAATTTTGCCACATCTATTTTTATTTTTATTTTTTATAATAATTTCTTTTTGGACAAAAAATCATACAGTTTTGATTCAAACTTTAAAAAAATAATTAATTATTCTTCTAAATTAAAATTTTGGGTCTCCCTACATCATCTGCCATTTTCACCGTGAAAAGGGCCAATCGTCGGAGAAATTTGCCGCTACCACCACTCCTCTTGCCGGCGAAACCACAAATACTCTCTCCCTCATCTGTCTCCGTCTTCATCGCACACTTTCACCATTTTTCTTACCTCATACTTCTCCAACCTCCACAAATCCAAAAACCATAAGTCGCCACACCAGCTTCTTGCCACTCACCAGCCTCGTTCCCCTCTCCACTGTCTTCCTTTTTTCGTACCATCGACGACTCCTACGAACCACCAGGTACCCCCATCGACCGGAGAAAGTCATGGCCGCCGTCGTCGCCATTTTTATCGGCGAAATCACATATACTTTCTCCCTCACTATCTTCATCTCCACCGCACACCATCACTATTTTTCTTTCCTCCTCCAATCTCCACAAAAACAACAACCTAAAGCCACCGCACCACCAGATCTGGCCGAAAAACCTCTTCACCGCCATGACTGCACCCTCACCCACCTCGTTCTCCTCTCCACTAGCCAGTGTCGCCTTTCTCTCACGCCACTGCGATTCAGTGGTCTCCGGCGAAAGCTGGTCCGCTTTCTCCTTCTCACGCACCAAGAGTTTTTTTTTTGCAACAAAACCTATTTCCAAATACTGGAGTCACTTAATAGTACAAAGCAAAGACAGTCGTCACATAGAAATACATCCCGAAACCTCGAAGGACAAAATAAAAATGGCTATCGTAAGTTAACAAATAGTATATTTTTGCCCAAAGAAAAAAAAAAGAACAAAAATTTCAAGCTGAAAAAAGGTGTGAGCATTTCTCCCAATTAAATCCAATCTCAAAAATTAAAAAGAGACTGCCACAAACAACATTCAGCGGAAGAGTTCTTGGTAAATTGTGGAGAAGAAAATAAAAAGTTTGTTCAAGCGTGAGAATGGCCAAAAAGGAGGGGTTAGTGAGGGAAGAAGAAATGACTTCTTAATTAATTGCTGAAAAAAGTGGGTCTTTGGGTGAAGAAGAAGGGCTTCAATTTTCTTTTTATGTTTATTATTTTACTCTTTTAATTTAAATATTTTTAAAATTTAAATATGATGTTCACTTGCCTTAATAGGCGTGTGGTCTCACTCTCTTGCCAACTCAACCATATTAATGCCACATAGGCATGGTCAACGGTCAGAGGGGTTTGATATATTGTGTTTTATTAAGTGTAAGGGTTCAGATGACAAAAAGGTAAGTAGAAGGGTTCACAATACAAACGGGTACAAGTATAGGTATCCACCAGACCATTTTGCCAACATTTTTCAATACTCTCTTTCAACTTCAAATTACAATTACTTTTTTGTTGAAAAAATCAATTTATTTTGTCTCTACCCTCAAACTAGCCCCCCAACCACCCCCCAAAAAAATAATGATAATAATTTTAAAGCTTGTTTTTAAATTTAATTTTTTTAGCCCACCCTCACCCCTACCTTCAAACCCTCCCAAAAAATATTAAAAATTGTTTTTAAAAGATATTTTTAATTTCAATTTTTTATTTTTTTACCCCCCACCCACTACCCTCGCTCCCCCATCTGCTCCCCTATCAATCCCCCTATCAGCCCCCCAACCCCCTTCAAAAAGAAAAAAATTTAAGTTTGTTTTTAAAAAATATTTTCAACTTCAAATTTTTATTTTTTC